GAAGAGGAAGCCCTGCCGAACTCAGTGTGATGGAGGACAGCAGAGGCTTCTGAGTTACCACCTGGGTCCCCCTTAAGCTTGAGCCTCCCTGGTCTTTATTTCCAGAACCTTAGGAGGCAAAAAAGCTCCCAGGACCAGGCTGGGAAGAAAGAGGAAGAGAAAGGGAGAAGAAGAGGGGGGACCGGAGGGAAGTAATGAGAGGAAGAAATCAGGGAGGAAGAGGTGGAGGGTGTATGAGGCAATCTGAGGACAGGGAGGAAGAGGAAATAGGAGAGGAGGCAGAGACTGGGAGGAGAAGAGGCAAAGGAGGAGCAGAGCGGAGGAGGGGCGGCCCACCTGAGTGCTGTAGCAGTGCAGGCCCAGGAGAAGCCTGACTACCACTACTGTTTTCCCTGCCTTGAGACCTGGAATCCCACCCAAAGCATTTTATTTTCTAGGGAAAACAAACATGCCAAGCAAGAAAACAATTCGCCTTTCCTATCCTCCTCATCAGGTCCAGGCATGTATTTCAAGGTCCTGCTTAGAAGAGCACTACTTCCTAAAAGAGAAAAATAAAATAATCATAAAAGATCCGAGGAAGGGGTGAAGGTGCTCTTTTCCAGGGGTACCTCTTCAAATGTGGCACCCCCAGAGGAATTCCAGCTTGGAAACCGGGGAGCATCCAGGGAACACTTTATCCTGGGATAGCCCTCTGCTCTCCCCACCCTGCACCCCGCCTCTTACACCAAAGCTTTGCTGACTGAATCATTGCAGTCTGTCCAGGGCCAGTGTCTCTCCTCTCTCTGCCGCGCAAAGTGGGCTCAGAGCCCACAAAAGTGCAAAGGGCCTCCCCCAAATCAAAGCCCCTGGCTTTTCAGGTGGATTTATCACCCTGTAAATAAAGATTTATTGGGTAATTGCTTTCAAAAAGTGCTCACTGTGAGGGATCTGAAATAAAGAGTGTCCTCTCCCCTTGGCAAGGTGAAGAGGCCCTGGTCATTTGGGAACAGGGAGCCTTGGTTTGGTGAAGGTTGAGCTTCCTATCCATCCACACTGCCCACGCCCCATTCCAGGGCTCACCCCACTTGGGATCCTGCTCCTCCAACTTGGGCCGGTTCCCTTCTCTGTCACTGGGTATAGAGGAGTCAATTTGGAAACCTGGGAGTAATAATTTCTAGGAGTACTGCTGCTGTTCTTTTTTATTTGTTTTTTTTTTTTATTTTTGTTTTTCTTCCAGTACCAGGAATCGAACTCACGACCTTACTCTTGCCAGGCAGGCACTGTGCCAACTGAGCTAAATCCCCAGTCCCTGTTGTACTTTTTTAAACAAAGAAAAAGTTGTGTGTGTAGAGATTTCAGAGCAGCCTTGGAGAGGTGGAGGTCGGGGGCCACTGACCAGGCCATCCAGAAGGGGGTGATTCCTGGGGGGCTGGGAGAAGCTGGGTCTACCCAAAGATCCACTTTTAGAACAAGCAGAGGGGGAAGGAGAGGGGCTCCTTTCCCAAGGTCTTTGCTCAACCCCATCCTGACCACAGGATTGTCCCAAATGGGATGGCGGCGTGAGTTCCAGCCCAGAGAGCAGCAGAGGCTGGTACATACCTCAGGAAACCATGGAGATGAGGAGGAGGGCAGACAAGACTGACAGCGTCAAAAGAAACCAGCCAGCACTGGGAGAAGTCAGGAGAGCAGGAGGAAGACAGGAAAAGGGACAGCAAAGTCAAAACAGAGGAGACCCTAAGATGAGTATGCAGGCAGAAAGAGGCAGACTAGGAAATGTGTGTATGACAGAGAGAGGGAGGGAGGAAGAGAGAGGAGGAAGAGAGAGGGGAAAGGGAGAGAGCAGGCACAGGGTAGAGGGAAATCTTTTCGGGGCAAATCCTGCACAACGCATACAATCAGGCATGAGGCCGCCCTCACACAGGCGAGCGGTGGTCCTCGGAGTTGATTAGTGACTGCACAGGCAGTGGATCTGGGCAAGAGAGTTCGCTAGCTAGCGCGAAGGAGAGGAGGGGGAGAGCTTCTCCTCCTACCCCAGCTGCAGCCGCCCCAGTCCCCAGGTGAACCCCCTTTCCCCTGCTGGATGTGAAATCGCCATTTCACCCCGCCACACTTCTTAATTGTTGCAAAAATCATTTGTGAAATTGGTCTCCAACAGGCGAGAACCGCCACGCTCATTCTGACAAACAACCCCGCCGCCTCCCCCACGCAGCCCCACCGGAGCCCACGGGATCCCCAAGCCGCGGAAACGTGGGGTTGGCAGCCAGGTAGCCCGATGTGGGCCAGAAGTGGACCCACTGCAGGGTCTTCCGAGGCAGAGGGTGGGGTTTCACCCCAAAGGCAAGGTGGCCTTGGTTTAAGATGTAGCTCCCAGTTCCCTGGGTGGGAGAAGCAAGAGTGAGAGGGCTGCAAAGTCCATGCAGGGGGCGGAGCCCTCCAGCCTGGGCACCTGGGTGCATTCTGGGGGTCCACTGTTGCTGGGGGGAAGGTCTGACCCTAACACTCACATCTGCCTGACCTGTACCAAGAGCCACACTAAGGCAACATAGATAAGACCCCCGGAGTGGACACATAGGCAGACCTCCTCTTAGGCACCCACATTTACTCAGGCTGACCCAGAGGGGCCTACACCTCAACATCCACAAAGCAGAGGAGAGGGGCTTTAAGGCCTGTCATGAGGGGGAACTGGTGATGACCAGATGAATGGATCAATATGCATGTGATGTGCATTATACATTTTATACATACATACACATATAGGAAACACATGGCCACCTACAGGGGCCAAGGCAGGTCAAGCAGCCCGGTAGATTACCATCTTCCCTGGACATACACTGGGGTTTGAAGCTCTATCTCTCCACCTCTTTTGGGAAAGGACCCCCATAACTCCAGCAGCCTGGCACCCTGATCTAAGCAAGATATCCCACTCCTCGCCTTCACTTTTCCAATGCCACGATTACCTAGCCTGCCCTGTTCAGTTCTTGAAGCTTGCATTTAACAATGTTCTCAGCAGCGCCTCCGACCCCCATTCCTGGGAAGCCCCTCCAAAGTCTGATAAGCCCTGGTGCTAGGAGAGAGGGTCTGTCACATGCAGAGAGGGCAAAGGTCACAGGTGAGGAGGGGAGGAGAGGGGACACACTGGGGCCAGCCTGCAGAGAGACCCCCAGGCCAAAGTAAGACTCACTCCTCCTCCCGAAGAGGGCGGGCAGGGGGCGAGTTTGAGGGTTGGGTTTATTTTATTGTATTTGGCCTCCAGCGCTGAGCCAGAGACGCTCTTTCCCGGGGGGAGACAAAAGGCCTGCAGTTGTGGCGTCCTGCCCCGCTGGGAGGGCGTTTCGTCCCCAGGAATCCGTGTCCTGAGTGTGGAGCCACTGATCACCCTGACCTCCGAAAGCCCAGAACTGTGGGAGCTCAGATCAAGTCCCCACCCCTGACAGTCTAATTGGGGTCCCCAGAGCTCCCCAACAGAGAAGCTGAGTCGGTCCTAAGTTCTCAGGGCTCCCTCCCAGCCATCTCACACCCCTTTGCAGCCCAGACATTCCGTGCAGCCTTGCTGTGAAACCTGGGAACACCCAACTCCCCTCCTGGAAAGAGGTCCTGGATTGTGGCCTGGTGACCTGAGGGGTGGAGAGAGGACGTGCGCCCCTCAACCTGGGCAGACCCAGTCTCCCGAGCGGTACACCCAGATAAGATCGCTCTGGGTTTCTTAACACCTCGGGAGGCCAGACAAAAGCAGGCACCAGGACTCTGACATTATTTCAGTCACAATCCCTCCCTCGAAGTCACCTCTGGCCCTTTCCGGGGAAATCCTACCGGAGGACATTTCAGAGTGTGTGAATGAGAAGAGGCAGAGGACGTGAGAGACAGAGCGACTGTGTATTCGACCCAGGGAGGCCCGAGGATAAGCATGATTCCAGGAAGCGCCCGACCCAGCGGAGGCTGCTCCTGCGGACCCGGGACAGCCTGGAGCAGCCTTGGCGACCCGGGGCTGGGGACCCGGTGGATCCGGCCCATTCATCAAAGGAAGGCGCTTGAAGAAAGTTGGCCCCTCCCCTTCTCTCGGGACCCCAGCTCCCAAGGCCTTGCTCCCCGACGAGCAGTTCAAACTCTCCCCCCACCCAAAAAGGAGGTTGACCCCAGGGAGTAGAAAAGAGAAGAAAAAAAAAAAAATCGTTGGCGATTTCTTTTCGTTACTGGTCGTTCACTCCCTTCCGTCCTGGTCCCCTTCCCTCCTCATGAATAAAAGCAAAGTCCGAACCTATCAGATCTCTTCGGCTGCCTCCTCCTCCTCCTCCTCCTCCTCCTCCTCCTCCTCCTCCTCCTCCTCCTCCACCTCCTCCTCCTCCTCCTCCTCCTCCTCCTGCTCCTAGTCCTCGGACAGTCGAGCACTTTCGCACAACTTACCCAGCTGATTACTCGCGCCCCCTCGCTTTTCCTCTTCTCTCCCCCAACCCAGCCACTCCCTGACGCCTCCCCTAGAGCCCCGACCCCCGAGGAGGCGCCCTTTGCCTCCTCGAGTCACCTCGGGGACGGGGTGAGCGACAGAGCTGGCGCGGAGGGCGCGGGGACAGAAGGCGTGGAGAAGAGGGAGGGAGGGAGCCGGAGCGAGCAAGAGAGTAAATATATAAATAAATACGAAAAAGAAATCCACTCCGCGGCGTCTTGGCTCGGGCTCGGGAACTTCGGCCCGGAGCTCCAGAGCTTGTCGCCCGCCACCAGTGCGAGGCCTGGGCCCCGATCCCGCCGCCGCCGCCGGCCTGGTCTCCGGCTGCGCCCGGGCGCATCGGCGCGCACAAGCACAACTTGCAGCCTGGCCGCGCCGGCGGAGGCGGACTTGGGGCCGGAGTGTGTGTTTGTTTGAACTTCCTCGTCGCCACCGTCCCTGCCCCCAACCTCCGCCTCCACCTCGCCCCCCTCCCCAGCTTCTGGACGCGCAGGACCGCAGCCGGGGTGGGGGGGTGGGGTAGGGAGCGTGCGTGGAGGGGAGGGGGAAGAGGTTAAAAAAAAAAAGAAGACGAAGAAGAAGAAGAAGGAAAGAAAGATCGCAGCGGGAGGAAAGGGAGCGCCGGGAAGCGATCTGCCCACTCCGGACCGTCGCCGGCGCGCGCAGGCATGGCGGGCCTCCCCGGCGCGGTTCCGAGGATGATGCGGCCGGCTCCGGGGCAGAACTACCCCCGCACCGGCTTCCCCCTGGAAGGTAAGCGCGCCCCGGCTCGCCGCGCCCCACCCGAGATTCCAGGTCTGCGGAGGTGGCAATCATGGGGCGCTGTGGGTACGCCGGCGGCGGGAGCTGCGGGAGCCCCCTTCTTTTCTGATCCAAGTCCGAGCGCGGGACCCAGGAAGTTTCTGGGGCCGACACTTGCGCGCTTCTGCGTGGGCTTCAGCGCCCCGCGGCCTCCGCTTGGCAGGTCGCGGCTGCTGGCGTTTCCCCACCGGGTGGACTCCAGGTAGATTTCGGCTCCTCGTAAATTTCAGGTTCCTGCGACTGCCAGGTCTCTCCACTGTTTTCAGACTATTCTTTGCCCGTAGTTCCCCGGCTGCCTGGGCTAACCGGCTATCGGCTTTCTATGCTTGTTTTGAATTGTTCTTCCCACCCTCCTGGGATGGTCTTCCGATCCCTTTTATTTCGAAATACCATTAATGTGTGACACTTGATATTTCTAAACTACGAGAGCTGTCCGCTTCTTCCAAAGCAGCTCTCAAAACGCTCCAGCTTTTCGGCCTGGAAACTAACTAGAAATAGTGAATTGGAACGATATTTTTTTCCCCAGAAAAACTTTTCGCCCGGGGTTCCCAACTCAGCAAATCCCCCGAAGGAAAACCTCGGAACAGCGAGAGGGCACGGCAAAGTCCAGATCCGGGAAAAGTGTTCATTTTGCAACGTGTTCTTCCCAACTATCCAGTGCAGGGGGAGAGCCAAAGGCAAGGGCGGCGGGCGGGTTCCCGGCTACACAGAGGTCTGGGAGCGAAAGGCCAGATCCTTTGCTGGGTTTTTTTGTTCTTTTCTTTTTAAACGCACGGAAGGCCTCCAACCCCGTCCCTGACGGATCATCTGGCTCCTAGGGGTAGATAGCCCAGGGTGTCTTAGAGAAGCCCTTAGATGTGTGTGTTACTTTTTGTTTTTTAATTACTCTTCTTGTAATTGTAATGAGCCCCTTGTGCGTGAGGCTGGGGAGAGGTGGCGGGGAGGGGGTGGGCGGGCAGGCAGCCTGCGATCTGGGGAGGGGGCCCTCGGGCCGCAGGACGGCGTCGGGTCCCTGAATTAGACAGAGGCGAAGAGAGCGGCTGCGTGATCAAGTGCGCGCGAGCAGCCACGCAGGCGGAGAGCGCCCGAGCCCAGGGATTTGCCGTAGCACCCTCCTGCAGCCGATGCTAGTAAAACAGGCGGCTGAGGACGCGCGGCGGATTAGGACAATATTTGCCCAACATGACGCAGAATACTGAGGAGAGCCGAGTGCCGGTCGCTAAAGAGGCTCTTGAATATAAAGTTGGGCGCTCTAGAGCTCTCCAGCGCTAATGGCATATCCCGCCACGGAGACCGAGTGACTCTGACTTGGCGACGCACGATTTCTGATTAAATCTGAGGGTGGCTTCAGACACCTACTTTTTACAAAGAGAGGTGGGGGGACCAGGAGAGCGAGGGAGGGGATGGTAGGAACAACTCTGCAGCCAAAGCCTCCTCTCGCCTCCTCCCTTCCAATTATACTGTCAGCTCCCTCTACTCGGGCGGCTGTGAAATTGTTCTAATCTTCCAGATCTCCGCAGCCGACGAGTCCCCAAATTGGGGGGATCGAGGCCGGATTAGTGCACCGGGTGTCCCCCAACCCTCTGCGAGCAAATTGTGTAGACTTTACATTAAGGCGAGCTGTGCTTTCTCCTCTCCCCGGCACGCACCAGCGGCGCTTGTCTTCCTGGTTCCCAAAGTCACCCACACCCTGGGACTCTGGCTTGTCTCGGTGAGCAGTACCAGCAAGGACAAGGATGGTCCCTGGACTTCAGAGACCAAGCGGGGTATTGTGCAGATTGCTGACAGTGGAGTGTGTCCTCAAATTGTCCCAAAACGAAATTAAAACTTTGAGAGTGGTTGGAAGTAAAGGGAGCCCCCGAGGGACCTCGAGGTGCCCCTCCGAAGCAGCAGCAGCAGCAGCATGTCCCTGGTCCCTGAACTTGTGCCCGGGCTGTTCAGCCTTGGGTAAGATCCCTTTGCTGCTCAAGCCAGAGCTGTAACTGCTACTAATCAACCAGCATTTCCCAGCCACCCATGAACTGGATCGGTCAGGACTCCTGGGAGTATGGAATGGAATCGATGGGCTACATCTCCCCAAGTCACTCGCCCATCTGAGAGGCAGGCAGATCTGTGGACCAAGCTGCGGTCTGAAGAACGGAGAGCCATTCCCCTAGAGCCCCACCAGGCTCTGCGCTCTGCTCAGGGGCACTCACGAGCCCCAGGTGTGTCCTCATCCCGGCAGTGAGGGACAGTGAGGGCTTGAGGTGAGGGGTGTATGTGATGTGGCCTCCTGACATTTGTTTCCCAGACTCTAACCTCCAGAAACTTCCTCAGATTTGAAGACCTGGGAGATTTGCTCTCAGAGCGCTTGGGGCTTGAACTGCTTTGGTCTGAGAGTGTAGTCACTGTCTCTTTCCTGTCCTTACCCTGTGCCCCTCTCCATTTTTGTCTCGCTTCTCTAGTGTCCACCCCACTTGGACAAGGCCGGGTCAATCAGCTTGGTGGGGTCTTCATCAACGGGCGCCCCCTGCCTAACCACATCCGCCATAAGATAGTGGAGATGGCCCACCATGGCATCCGGCCCTGCGTCATCTCCCGCCAGCTGCGTGTCTCGCACGGCTGCGTCTCCAAGATTCTCTGCCGCTACCAGGAGACTGGGTCCATCAGGCCTGGAGCCATCGGAGGCAGCAAGCCCAGAGTGAGTGTCTTTGCCACAGAGGCTGGCAGCAGGCCTTGGCCTGGTCTGGGGGCCTTTGGCTGCAGCCTTGTGTCATCCAGCAGCACGAGTGCCTTTAGGCTTCAGAGAGAGTGTCCCAAGTCCCAGTGTGTCCCCACTAGTTTCTCACTATTCGAATTTCTCAGAGATGGGGATAACTGAAGTCTAGGCTGTCCCAGACCTTCAGACCAATGAGTCATGTCTGGGGATTGTCTTTACATCTGCCCCAAACCCCCTACCACCACAATGGACCATGGGATATCTCCAAGTCTTGCCCGTGATGGTGAGGGACCCTGGAGTGCCTACTTAGGTTTTATTTTATCATCTATCCCTGCCTCTCCTCACATGTCATCCTGAAAGCCAGAAAAGGGTTGCTTGAAAGAATAGGGACATTGGGGGGGGGGGCGCATGGTGACCAGAGCTACCCGCCTGGCCTGGGACTTTTGGGAGGTTGGTATTAAAAGTATCTTCCTTCCCCCGCTCCATCTTTCCACTCCTGCTCTCCTGCCTCCACCTCTGAAGCAGGTGGCGACTCCGGATGTGGAGAAAAAGATCGAGGAGTACAAGAGGGAAAACCCGGGCATGTTCAGCTGGGAGATCCGGGACCGGCTGCTGAAGGATGGCCACTGCGACCGCAGCACGGTGCCCTCAGGTGAGAAGACAGCCCGAGCCCAGGAGCTTCATCCAGTCTGGCGGGGCTGGGGCCGGAAGGGGAACAGGAGGACTGAGGATGGGTGACAGGGACTTGGAGGAAAGTTGGGAGGAAAAGAAAGCAAGACGGCGAAGCAGGAGCTTAAAAGTGAAAATGGAAAGAGACAAGGGGAAAAGTTAGGAGAGAGAGGAGAAAGAAGGAAGGAAGGGAGGCATAAGGGAGAGAGCAGGGATGGCGGGCAGGCAGGAGAAGAGGAGGGAGAAATACAAGGAGGGAAGAAGGGAGGGAAGGATGCAAGGAGGCAAACAGCTGGAAGGTTAGGTGAAAAGAAGAGGCCCTTGGAGCTTTCTGGGCGAAGTGGCCTAGGGAGAGGGACCTGCCCTGGAAGGGCTGAGATCCACACACCTGCTGGAATCCCCTTCTCCAAGTTAGCCTTTCTGCCAGTGAGTTCCAGATGTAAAGATCCCAAACCATGGGGCCCATGGGAGGGAAAGCTGTGTGTGTGTGTGTGTGTGTGTGTGTGTGTGTTTATAGACATGTCCTTGCAGGGCAAGGTGACACACCTGAGCATGGGCTTTGCAGCAGCCAGGGTTGGGGGTCCTCTGGGGAGGCCTTGGACAGTGGATTCGAGTGTTGAGTTCATCTAGGGTGTGGGGTGGTGCAAGGCACAGGAGTGTGTCAGGGTGTGTATGGGAATGCACAAGGTGGGTGACTCTGCCAGTCTTTTGGCCCCGTGAGAACCCCTGGAGTAAGCCCAGTTGTGACCCCCAGGTATGACTGGGCTCTCCTCAGTCCTGACCACTGAGTAGGTACAAACGCTTAATGCCTGCGTGGGGATGGGGGTTCTTGTGTCAGCCAGGGGGGAGCACAATGACTTTGACCCAGGGGTGCAAGCCTCCGAGCGTTCTTTTGCTCCAACAGCTTATACTCGCTCTTTTGCCTTTGAATTTCTGAGGTTTAGTGAGTTCGATTAGCCGAGTGCTCAGAATCAAGTTCGGGAAGAAAGAGGAGGACGACGAAGTGGACAAGAAGGAGGAGGACGGCGAGAAAAAGGCCAAACATAGCATCGATGGCATCTTGGGCGACAAAGGTAGGGAACTGCAAGGGCCGGCGGCGCGCAAGCCCGCGTTTTCCCACGCTCTGAGTGCGGGCCTGTGGCTCACTCCACCGCCCCCAGAACGGCGGCTAGGCTTCAAGCGGAGAAGTCACAGTCCGAGGGCAGCCGGAGCCTCCCAGGCCCCTTAGGTCCAACCCCAGAGCTGGTGCGAAACCCGTGTTCCCTTTGCGCCTCTGAGCGGGACACTGGGCTGCGAGGGTAGCGTGCCGTGCACCGCGGCTGTGCAAACCTCCGCGCGCGCCTGGGCTACTCTGGTGCGTCCGTCCTCCGGGTTGGCGTTTTGGCTGCTACTCTTGATGTCCATCAATTATTTATAGGAAACCTGGGCAAGGGGGAGGGGGATGCCAAGGATGGAGGAATCGGCCCGCGGCTCCCTAAATGAATTTGTTAACCAGACCCGCACAGGCTCTCTAAACGGTCCCTTGAAACCCCGCCTGACAGTTGACTGACCGCTGCAATCAATAAAAATTAGCCGGGCCGCCGCCTGACTCAGCCCCGCGTCGCAGGGGCAGAGCGGGGGCGGAAGGGTGCTTTCCTCTTTGGCGTTTGCAGGCGGGGCGGGGGTTGAGGCTAAGTTCCCAGACTCACTGGGTCGTTGGGTCCCAGTGGGGGAGAAATTGCGGCGCCACACACCCTCTCCCACCCTGAGCATGGCTTCAGTGCGGAGCTGGAGGCTGAGCCCAGCAGGAAGGCGTTTATTTTCAAGCGCCTGCATGCCCGCCGGGGGGACCCGGACTTGCTTTTGTTTCCCCACGGGAAAGGTTGGAGAGGAGGACGGGCGAGCCTTTCCTCACCTCCTCCCTGTGCAGCTCATTTTTGAGACTTGCTGTATGTGACGTGAGGCCACGGACACAAGTGACAGTGGAAGACCTAAAGCCACAATGACTGACCCAGGAAAGAAGGCCCGGAAGACCGAGGGAGGGAGGTGTCTGACAGGGCATCGGGAAGACAGTAGTCTCGGGAACCTGAGAAGCCCTGGCTTTGGAGAAGGTGGGGAAGTGCCTTCTCCTTGTAGAGGCTTCTCCGGGTTTCTTCTGGTCTGTGCTCCAGCACTCCCAGCCCAGGTCTCTGTCCAGGGCTGGGTAGTTCCTCCCAACCTTGAAGGTGAACTTCACAGACAAAGCCCGCTTCCAAAGACAACTCCCAGCGAGGAAGGCCCAGCCCCCACCGGCCTAGTCGGAGTGGGAAGGATGGGGGGAGGCAGCCCCGAGTGAGAGCAGCTCTGAGCAGGGCGGGCTATTGACATTCATGGCCCCTAGTGCAGCCGCAGTCCCTCCTGGGACAAAAGGGCGAGGGAAGAAAGGGAGCCCACTGTGGCTGGCACCCCGCTGTGCCGGGCCTGCCAAGGCGCCTGGGATCTGCAGGAGGAGGCAGCGCTGCACTGCCAAGTAGCCCTGGCTTGGCCAGTGGGCCCAGAGTCCCGGGACGCTGTGGGGCACCCAGTGCCTTTATCGGTTCCTATTAGACAGAGACTGGCTGGACTTTAATGTGAGTGGCAGGGTCGGGGACATGAACTTGAATACTTTTCCCTGACAAGTACTACAGACCGGACACCTCTTCGGAGTTACCCCTGGGAGAAGGAGAGGGGGGGTTGGATTTACTTGGAAAGATTTCGGGCTTGTGTGTGTGTGGAGGGGGAAGACGTACATACAGTTTACTCTGCTGGAAGCACAAATAGTTAAAGTTCCTCTGAGAAAGAATAAAAGGAAAGGAGAAAGGGAAAGGACCTGTGGTTTGGGAGGATTCCTTTGATTCAAGGGATTTTAGGGCTACCAGATCTGGCCTGGGCTTCCAAAACCAGGGCGCAGGCAATTTCGATGGACAGAGGTTTTCCTTCTTGGCAAGAGAGCCAGGAAGCTCCAAGTTCCCAAGGGTTTGAAGAAGAGTCCAGCAGTTTCAGATGGGGGCAGCTGAGACCACAGGTGCAGAGTCTCGGAGGAGCTGCAGAAGTGAAATGACCTCATGCAGCAGGTCTGGTGTCCAGAAAGCCCTCCGGGTTTTGAGTGGCGGTGGATGGGGGTGGGGTTGTGGCCGTGACAGTGCGCTGGATGGACTTCTAAGCGCTTACATCTCCTCATGGGACTCGGGGCCTTTGGGTCAGCATGTGTGTGCCGCTGAGATTCTACGCGGGTGTGCAGCGTGAGCGCATATGGATGTGAGCAGGCGCTGTGACGGAAGAAGTCTCTCCATCCATCTGTGGACAGATAGCATCCGTTTCCGATTTGAGCATGGGGACCAGTCAGCAATCATCCTGATGACCCTTCATCTCTCTGCCAGGCCCTAGACATCAGTTTCATAGCCAAATTAAAGGTGAAAAGACCTCTCTGAACCTCCACCCAAGTGGTCCAGGTCCGGCAAAGCAGAGATGCCCCATGGGTAGAGCAGGGGGAGGGGGTGCGTACCCACAACTTTGTTTTGGCTTCTTGCTCTTGACAAATGCTTTCTCCGGGGGTTGCCCCTCTCATGGCAGGGAGCCGCCAAAGAAGGGGTTTAAGAGCTCTCCTCTTTAAGCGCTAAAGAGAGATCCCTCCCTGAGTCCGTTTTTCCCTATCGTCCGCTTGGCATTTAATAATGTTAAGACTTATTAGAGCTGGTAATGAAAACTGGGGCTGCTGAATAGGAAACTGTGTTGGAGAGGGGTGTAATAGCTTCCAGGCATGGTAAGAAACTATTTATCCGCAATCAGTCCTCACTCTCAGAGTTTGAAGCACAAACGTTAAGTTGAAGGGTTTTAAAGCAGATTAAATTGAGCTTTTATTTCTGTGCACTTTCATCTCTGAACAGCTCACTCTTGCTCCCCTTGGGCTGATATTCATGAGACTGTTCGTGTTTTTTTTTTTTTTTTTTTTTTTTTGTCTTTTTGAGACAGGGTCTCGCTATGCAGTTCAGGCTGGACTTGAGCTCACTTTGTATCCCAAAATAAAAAAAAGTTAAACTCATATTCCATGCATACCCACTCTTTTTTTTTTTTTTTTTTTTTTTTTTTTTCTCCTCTTATCCTTGTTAAGACTGAGTTATTAGGATTGTTGGTTGTGAGAATTCTCAGACCACTGCCGATAGGGGCACTGGCCAAGCTCTGCTCACCTGAAGAGGGAAGTGGACAGAATGGACAGCTCTGTGGCCCTGTCCACTTAAACTGTCTCCTCTTCACCCCTGTCTTCAAAGTTCAGTCCAGAGAGCCAACCAGGAGACGATCTGAGGAGGGAAGGAAAAAGAAAAGATTCTCCCAGAAGCTGAGCTCGGAGGGATTCTCGAGAGGAATTTGATAGGGATTTGCAAAGGGTCAAACCATTACTCCCAGGAGCACAGAGTGTGCGGAGGGGTGTGTGAAGAAATAAGCAATAATGTAAATAACAATAGTAACAGTAACAAACAGTGAGAACACCAAAGCCTCAGGCATCCTGCAGTGCATAAGTTGAAAGCATAACGCTCAGATCCCAACGTGGGGCTCCATATTGGTCTCTAGGGTAGGAAGCCCAGTAGGGTTAAAATTAATTTGAAATATTGAAATAAGTTACAGGAGGAGGAGACGTTATTTTCCTCTGTGGCCAGAAAAACCTAGGGGTGTTAAGAGTCCAGCAGGAGAATTCGCGGAGTTCTCTGTCTGAAAAAGGCCATTGGAAGTGGGGGAGATGCCAGGGGGGGTGTGAGTCAGATTTGTTTGTCTTTGCATTTTTCCTCAATTTATTTTTAAGGCAGTGAATTTCCAGGTGTGGAGTGGGAAATGCGAGGGAAGGGTCGGAAAGGGGGGGAGAGCCTGAAGTGCGGGTTTTAGACACTTGTAAAAGAGGTGGGAAACAATTTAATTTGGCATCAGCGATAGCTGCTAATGCGGTTTTCGGTCGTTTGCTACACTGGAGGAAGCTGTTTTGATTGTGTGTACAAGGACCTGCCAAATTTAATTAGGCTCCGGGGGAGCGAATGAATAGGGGAAGGGGGGCGCCGCTCCCCTGAGCCCACACTGCTTTTCCCCCTTCACACCTGGAAGGGACATTGTTTGTGGGATAGGTGAGCACGCGGAGAGGGAGCAGGACCTTGGGCGAGGGGGGCGAGGGAGAGGAGGAAGACAGTCCATTTATCAGGGAACGATCTGCATTGATTTAAACCAACAAGTTCCCTCCTCTGTAAATGTGTGTTTAGAGAAAGGTAATTGACACTCCACCAAATCAAAGGATTACCCCGGGTTGGCAATCTAATCAAACAGAGTCCAGGCGGGATTTGAGGCCGTTCCGAGTGGGATCAGCTTCGCATAATGGGGGCTTGGAGGAAGATGGGAGGGTGTCAGGCAATTCCCCGGCTTTAGGCAGCGCTCGGCGGTGGAGATTCAGAGACCAGAGCGGGAGGGGAGGGGCCGGGGGCTCCGCCGGGCGGTGGGGGATGGGGCGAGCGGAGGGGGTGCGGCGGGGAGGATCCCGAGGGAGGGGGCGCCCAGCGAGGGGGCGAGCCCACACTGGGCCGACAAAACTCCCCCTTTTCTTCCCTTCATCCCCCCAACCGAAGAAGAGAGGGGGTGGAGGGAGCCGAGCCTAACGAGCACCAACAATAAGGAGATAACTATTACAAAGGCAAACACTGGCGCTCGCGCGCGAGCCGCCCCACAACCCGCGGTAAATAAACAAAGTCGGCAAACTGTTTGCCAGATAAACTCGTGCCTAAATCGAGTGTGACGGGCCGGGAGAGAAGAGACAGAAGGAGATAAGGTTGGAGGGGGAATGAACGAGCATAATCTAATAGAAGACGTTTAGAAAACAAACTTTAAACAAGGGAGAACAGGGGAGCGAGCGCAGCGTCAAGATCCGCCCCGGAGAGCCGAGGAAGCCGGCGGAGGCCGGGAGGGGTGGGGGCCCGGGAGCCGCCGGCAACCGCGCGTTGTCTCCCCCCCCTCCCCGCCTTTGGGACTCCGCGGGAAGCAGCACAGGGACCCCGGGGCGCGCCGGGGAGGAGGCTCGGCTCCCGGATGGAGGATCGGCTAA